GGGGGTGTAGAATTGACATCAGCTACTGATGAATGGACAAAAAAACCTGAAACAACAATAAAAACCTGACAGATCTACTGATCCAACCACCAGACAGGTGTGTCTCCACTACTCACAGACCACCCACCACTGCCTCTATCTTTGCTCAGCCCAGCTGGAGCGTAATGTTCCCCTGCCATAGAAGGAAATATCCTAATGCCCCGACTCCACTCTCAATCTCTCCTTCTACCCAAACTACCCGGCAAAATGAACACACAAGTGCAGAAAAACAGCAACACAACAAAATTTTAAAAAACAAAACAAAATAGAAAAATCATACAGGATTTACAGAGATGGCTAAAAAACACAGTCCACATTTGTCTCTATAAACATCCAGGATACATCCAGGATACACCCAGGTGTGTCCAGTCTTGGTTTGACCTAGCCTGGCGAGTCCCACAAAAAATGTCATGCGACTTCCTGCCTGCAGATGAAGCCACTTGCACACACAAACCCCCGTAGCATAGACACAGACTGACCCACACACAAACCCCCGTAGCACAGACACAGACTGACCCACGCTACAAACCCCCGTAGCACAGACACAGACTGACCCACGCTACAAACCCCCGTAGCACAGACACAGACTGACCCACGCTACAAACCCCCGGAGTGACCAGCGGGAAAGAGTGCCCCCCCCCCCCCACACCCTTTGAGAACAGTGATCCCAGAACTACAGTTACAAACATCAAACACCGACTGCCATTTTTCCTTGTCCGGACTGGGGGGTTTCTCCTCCAAGAGGTTCGAACATCTCCCCAAACTCCTGGGCCCGGCACGCTATCTCCGAACACACGACCAGATCTCGCCGAGGCCCAGCTAGTCACATATATACGTAACACACATCACAGAAGTCTTGAACACATCACCCATAGACTACACTGGACACCAAGTTTTTGCATGTCACTTCAGAACTGCTCCACACATTCTCCTCTTGGTTCAGTGCCGCACCCGCTCTGCTCTGTGAATCTGAGGAGGACAGTGAACACATCCCCGCGGTACCGTCTATGAACCAATGGTCTTCCACCTACTCTGTGATACTGAACATATCGCCCGCGGTACCGTCTATGAATCAATGGTCTTCCACCTGCTCTGTGAATCTGAAGAGGACAGTGAACACATCCCCGCGGTACTGTCTATGAATCAATGGTCTTCCACCTACTCTGTGAATCTGACGAGGACAGTGAACATATCGCCCGCGGTACCGTCTATGAATCAATGGTCTTCCACCTGCTCTGTGAATCTGAAGAGGACAGTGAACACATCCCCGCGGTACTGTCTATGAATCAATGGTCTTCCACCTACTCTGTGAATCTGACGAGGACAGTGAACATATCGCCCGCGGTACGGCGCACGGTGCCAGGGCAGTGGTGTGAGAGCCGGACAGCTAGGCGTGGTCGGGGCTGATGGGTTTGAAGTTGAACCCGCCCCCGGCCTGTACCACAGCGGGCTTGTTGCTCCCCCCCACCTCGCACTGGTCGCCCATCTCAGAGTCGCTCATGTAGACGTCGTGGTGCGGACTGGCGTCACTGCTCATACGTTGGTCTCCGTGCCTGGTGAGTCGCGACGTCTGGGATGCCAGCGTGAGGCCGCGGGGCTGGGTCAGGGAGCCACGCTCCAACGCCTGGTGTTGTTGTTGGTGGTGGTGTTGTTGGTGCTGTTGTTGTTGTTGTTGCGGTTGTGAGTGGTGATGCTGCTGCTGCTGCGGTTGCTGTTGTTGTGGTTGCTGCTGGTGGTGAGCGTGGTGGTGAGGATGGTCCGGGAGGGAGGTCATGAGGTGCAGCGAGGAGGAGGAGGTGGAGGAGGAGGAGGAGGAGGAAGTGGAGGAGGGCGAGCCCAGCACAGACTCAGCCACCGGCCGGAACAGGAAGGAGGGCTTCCCCGGGCCCAGCAGCCCGCCGCCACTGTCCCCAGCGAGGGAAGTGTGGGGCGAGGGGGCGCCGCTGCACGACGACAGCGGAGAGTGACCGGCCAGGGGTGAGCGACCCGCCAGTGACATCACCGTGGTCAGACCAGAGCTGCCGTTGTGTGGACGCACAGAGACCTGGTCTAGACCTGTGCCCTCCAGGCTACTTGAGGAAATACTGGGGACATAGAGAGGTCAGAAGTTAGAGGTCAGAGGTTAGAGGATATACAGGGGACACAGAGAGGTCAGAGGTTAGAGGGAATACTGGGGACATAGAGAGAGAGAAACAGAGGGATGAGATACTGGGGACAGACAGAGAGGGGTGTGTGAGCAAAGTTATCACATGAGATACAGGGGACAGACAGACAGACAGAGGTCAGAACACAAAGTTATCACATGAGATACAGGAGACAGACAGACAGACAGAGGTCAGAACACAAAGTTATCACATGAGATACAGGGGACAGACAGACAGACAGAGGTCAGAACACAAATTTATCACATGAGATACAGGAGACAGACAGACAGACAGAGGTCAGAACACAAAGTTATCACATGAGATACAGGGGACAGACAGACAGTCAGAGGTCAGAACACAAAGTTATCACATGAGATACAGGAGACAGACAGACAGAGGTCAGAACACAAAGTTGTCACATGAGATACAGGGGACAGACAGACAGACAGAGGTCAGAACACAAAGTTATCACGTGAGATACAGGGGACAGACAGACAGACAGAGGTCAGAACACAGTTATCACGTGAGCTCGGTACTGTTGGAAAGGCGGTGACAAGAACTCTTCTGTTACTGTACTTTGGTTTTCCCGGGGAACTACTCCCGGGACCCATGTAGGTATGTCGGAAGACTCTGTGCCAAATACCACGTGGGGGGACGCTTCTGACACACGATGTTACTAAAATCAGGTCGTTGGAGTGAGTTTTTCATTACTATAGTGCGGTCAAAAATTCGGGGCGCGACTTATTGTCAAATATCTCCTCAACTATCGAACACAGTCTCTAACTTTTGCACAGTGACTTGTATCAATTTGTCTTAACAGATCAACATTTTTGTAAACACCTGCAAGCTGTATTCTAGAAAATTCCTTAATAAATACTAATAAAAAATACAAGTGCATGGTTTCTACTAATTTTCAAATGTTTACAGCTGGGGCAATGTTGCTTTTAAAAGCAAATCCGTCAGGTTTTTCTAATCGGGACATAATGCTTATTGAACGCATGTTTTGAGAGCCACTAGTGCAAAAAATTTGTTCACTATAAAAATAATTTCTTGTAACAAGTTTTGCAAGTAAAAATCATCATTGGTGAGCTGTGACGTAGGCCATAGGTGTAATCAAAATGTGTGTGAGAAGCGGGAAGTGCTGTGAACAATACCCTTTTACCTGTGACAGAGATCTCAAGTATTTTATTTACATTTATGAAGAAGTTTTTTAATCTAGCACCAATTGTTCTGGGAAAATATGATTTAGTTAAGACAAATTGATATAAACTGCTGTGCAAAGTATGGATGACATTGATCCACCCGTAAAAGAGATAGTTGAGGAAAAGTTGCGCTACCAATTGTTGACCGCACTATTTTGATATATGATTCCAGGGATGGAAAAGGTCAGTTACACAATCCCAACATCAGACTGGGAGATTCTGTGCGGGGCGGGGGGAAAAGAAGGCATACTTCTTCACAAACAATATTATATTCCTAACACACACACACAGACAAACACACACACAGACAAACACACACAGACAAACACACACACACACACACAGACAAACACAGACCTGTGAGCCAGCGGGTGAGAACAGCCCATCATCCTGTCCGGGGTGCTGGGTCCGGTGTGGAACTTTTTGGGAGGACTGATGTACTCCCAGCGGTCGCCCTCCTGGTCCACTGTGAGGGAATACACACAGACAACTTTACACACACACACAGACAACTTTACACACACACACACAAACACACACACACAGTGGACTGATGTACTCCCAGCGGTCGCCCTCCTGGTCCACTGTGAGGGAATACACACAGACAACTTTACACACAGGGGAATGTACACACACACACACACACACACACACACAGTGGACTGATGTACTCCCAGCGGTCGCCCTCCTGGTCCACTGTGAGGGGGGAATAGACAGACAACTTTACACACAGGGGAATGTACACACACACACACACACACAGACACACACACATGGGGGAATGTACAGACACACACACACAGATACAGTTTTGAGAACATTTGACTTTTAAATGTCCATTAAAAAACACACTGGGGTCTAGAGGTACTCAACACACACATACTGGGGTCTAGAGGTACTCAACACACACATACTGGGGTCTAGAGGTACTCAACACACACATACTGGGGTCTAGAGGTACTCAACACACACATACTGGGGTCTAGAGGTACTCAACACACACATACTGGGGTCTAGGGGTACTCAACACACACATACTGGGGTCTTTCAAGGTCTAGAGGTACTCACACTTTCGCTTCAAGGGCCCCGTCCTCACGGCAATAGGGCTCAAGCTCCTGTAGAAAACATTCACAGAAATTATAGCAGGATCACAGCAGGAGGAAAAGGAAGCACACGGACACATGAGCAGTGGTTTAGTGCTAGGAAAAAGTATATACCCAGAAGAGAATGGTACTGCTCGATATCTGAGAAACTTTTTCAGCACAGAGAGAGAGAGAGAAATGAGGCATGATGAAGCTTACATGACAATCCTCCACACAATATCACACTACGTTTCACATCCTCCACACAATATCACACTACGTTTTCCTCACTGACAAAAATGGCCAGATCCAATCATTGTACTGACTGCCCCTAAACTCTTGTCCTGCGTCTGTGCCGAGATGCGAATCTTATCAGCAACCGATTACGTTGGACGTTCCGGGCAGGCCGCCTGGGTCACTCAGTGTGTACTGTTGGTGTACAGCGTGCGCGCGCCAGGAAACGTGTGTATTCGCCTTGAATACCGCGGGAGTGTGTTAACCGATGATGAAAATAACGCTCTATCTTTCATAGCTTTCTATTTATAAAGTGTTACAAACACATGAATAACCCCCTCTCACAAGCTGATAAGACATTACGAGTAGTTACACCCATTCGAATAACCTTTCTGGACGCTCTTGTTGTTATGAATGACCTGAGGTTCTAAAGGGGATAATATAGGTCAATTTCTGAATGTTTTACACTCAAATTGTTCTTTGTACCTGCACAATGGTATTCAAAACTATCAAACAAGCTTATTTTTTATCAGGTAGTATCATTTCATACAAAATCAAGCTCATTTGAAAGATTTTGTATAGAAAAATGGAAGTCTTGTTTCCTGACTATCCTTTCGAGCTCCTCATGTCTAAGTGGGTCAATTTCTTCTATAATTTCATTGGACGAACATCTAGAGCTACCAACTTGGCGTGTTTTGAATGAGACGTATGCCTCAATTACGAACCAACGCAGGCGGTTCTAGTAGAAGGCCACAAACGCACACAAACTCAAGCAGACTGACGCACACACACACACTTGGCCTTCGTGAATCCGGCGTGAGACCCGAATTGAACGTGAGGTGATGCTGGGCGCGCGTGCGCGGAGCCAGGGTCCAGACTGACGTGGGACCAGAACGTAGGCTTATCGGGTGACATAAACCCGCCCCCCGCAGGACCAGGGTTAACAATGGCAAATTGAACAGACATTATTGAACCTATTATTGATAGACCTGCATGTGAGCCTCAACCAGATTGTCTGAAAATTTTGTGTAACCCCACCCCCTCCCATAACTTTAGAGCTTTTAAATTGTGGGTGTCATAAAAGGAAGGATTTCCGAGTAACGAGCGACCACCCGAACAAACACAATAAAGAAGAGACCTAACGCTAACCCTATCGGCCTACCCCTAGGCCTAACACAAAAAAGAATCTGCAACGGCCCTCAAGTAAAAAGGCCAGCACAAGTCAAAAAAAAAAAAGAAGAAAGAAATAAGCACGCTCCAAAACAAACATGGAGCATTTATAATTTATAATAAAAATAATATGGCCTACATTGCTATAAAGAGTTTGATACAATAGAATTGGATAAAGATCTATGAATCCTCCATATATCTCAGTGATCTAAATAAATCTAGATCAAGATCTAGTAGAACAAGTGAATAGGAATAGATCTAGAATCTAGGCCTTGAACAAGAAATCCGCATCCGATTCCGAAGAGAGGGGCTCAGCTGAGTCTAGGGGGCTAAATCTAGAAATTTAGATCTTTATTCTAAGTAAATAATTCACGCACCTGATAAAATGCGTTTTACCAACATTATTACAGCACAACCTATAATATGGTTTGACACAATATAATTGGAATATGAATCCTCCATCGAGGTCTATAATGATCTATAAATCTCGATCTAGAGTAGAACAAGTGAGTCGGACTTGAAAGAATCCACATGATCTGAACAATCAGTAAACAAACGAAATTCAAAATGGCCGCTCGAGCAAGAAACTGAAAGTAGATAATTTAAGTCGTACTTTTTCGTATTCGTATTTCTACTCAGGTTCCGACAATTATGTCGGAAACGCCGACGTCGGCAGTCGGCGGTGCGCGCGTCGGCGGTCGACACGAAAACGAAAGTGCCGACAAAGCCGACGGGAGAAAAAGGGGTCGCTGGCACACGTCCAGGCCTCGCACTTCGAACATTGACTGATACAGGCGGGCCTAGCGATAGCATCGGCCGGTTCGCGGGTCGGGGTCGCGATTGTCGGATTTCAGACGATTGTCAGCAAACATGCAGGTCTATATTGATTTGTACAGGATTCCCTCCTCACAGGCACACTAGCAAACTGTTTTACAAAGGAGATTTTAAGAATCTACACCCCCCGCCCCCCCATAACAAGAGAGAGGAGACAAACCTGAGGAAGTTTTTCCTGGTGGGGCTGGGTGAGGGTGACGGGGTGAAAGTCGTGTTCTTCACCGGGATCTGCATGGAGGGCGAGAAACATTGCTGGGGATAAACAACACAGGATGGTTAACACACACAACACAACACAGGATGGGATATACAACACTACACGTCACAGGATGGGATATACACACACGACACAACACAGGATAGTTACACACACGACACAACACAGGATGGGATTTACAACACGACACAACACAGGATGGGATATACAACACTACACAACACAGGATGGTTACACACACGACACAGGATGGTTACACACACGACACAACACAGGATGGGATATACAACATGACACAACACAGGATGGTTACACACACTACACAACACAGGTTGGGATATACAACACTACACAACACAGGATGGTTACACACACGACACAGGATGGTTACACACACGACACAACACAGGATGGGATATACAACACTACACGTCAACATAGAAGAGAAACTGGGGAGATCTCTGGGACTGACAGACAGACAGACAGACAGACAGACAGACAGACAGACAGACAGACAGACAGACAAAACAATGTGGGACAGATAGACAGTAGTTTTAGTAAGAGTAAGAGGTTTACGGCACTTGCAACACAATAAGGTCATATAAGTGCCGAAGATTAGGTGCTACAAGAGAGTAACAAACACAAAAAAGGAGGAGAGATAAGGACAATAGATGTTTGATAGGAAAGAAGGAGCAAACCACAGCAGAGCACCTGCCAACCACCCATGGAGGAGAGATCAGGACAATAGATGTTTGGTAGGAAAGAAGGAGCAAACCCTGCCTACTCCCCACTGACCTTGATCCCAGCGCGTGTGGGCGAGGGGGAACCACACAGGATGTTAGACTGAGTCATGATGTGCAGGGACTCGCTGTAGGAGCGCGGTCGTCGAGACTGGCCCTCCATGGGTTCTGACGAGTCCTGGGGAGACACATATTGGGGTCAGACACAACACACATTGGGCTCAGACACAACACACATATAGGGCTCAGACACAACACATATTGGGGTCAGACACAACACACATAGGGCTCAGACACAACACACATTGGGCTCAGACACAACACACATATAGGGCTCAGACACAACACATATTGGGGTCAGACACAACACACATAGAGCTCAGACACAACACATATTAGGGTCAGACACAACACACATTGGGCTCAGACACAACACACATTGGGCTCAGACAAAACACACATTGGGGTCAGACACAACACATATTGGGGTCACACACAACACACATTGGGGTCACACACAACACACATTGGGCTCAGACACAACACACATTGGGCTCACACGCAACACACATTGGGCTCAGACACAACACATATTGGGGTCAGACACAATACACATTGGGGTCACACACAACACACATTGGGCTCAACAGTGAGAGATATGGTATTGTTGAGCGACGAAAGAAGAGTGACACACGTACAGCAGAGTGACACGGTCACACACGTACCAAAACTCGAGAAACATTTCTAAGACTATCAGATGAATTCTGAGATGAAACATTTCTACGACTCTATCAGATGAATTCTGAGATGAAACATTTCTAAGATTATAAGATGAATTTTGAGATGAAACATTTTTAAGACTTTAAGATGAATTCTAAGATGAAACATTTCTAAGACTATCAGATGAATTCTAAGTTGGCCAGGTCCCCTATTTCATCGTTTGTCACTTACAAATGTCAGGCGTCCCCAGTTGTTGGAAATCCAAAAGGACGATTGTATTTCCCTGAAAGAAAAAAAACACACAAAAAAAGGAATGAAGTACCCAGTGTGGAAGTAGACAGTGTGGAAGTACCCAGTGTGGAAGTAGACAGTGTGGAAGTAGACAGTGTGGAAGTACCCAGTGTGGAAGTAGACAGTGTGGAAGTAGACAGTGTGGAAGTACCCAGTGTGGAAGTAGACA